TGGGGATCTCTTGTATGAACGAAGTGGTGAAGGGTATCATATAGTCGGCCCGTCCGACTTTTGATGTTTCCTTACTGGTGTAATACTTTAAACGCATTTTTCTCGAATCAGTATTTTCGTGCTCGCCGATAACTCAAAAACTAATGATCCAATCGGTTCCAAATTTTGACACGTTTCTCTCGGATGAACTAGGACAAAGCCAATCGGTGAAGATTTTAACTTAGTTTGAGGTCAACAATTGGCGATTTTCCAAAAAAAAAAAAAATCAAAGTTCCGCCATTTTGTTAATTGTTGTGCGAAGTCAATAATCCTAGTTCATACGAGAGCTAGACATGTACTCTTTCTAACACAATTGGAATTTTCGGATTCCGATGTTCCAGTGAGGAGTTATTATGTCCGCCATCAAAAATAAGGACTTCTTTTTGATCACAAAAAACAACACCAATTTTTTTTGTACATTATTTTTTTCCTTTTTAAATCTTCAAATATATATGTGCAAAGTTACAAACCTCTTAAAAATAAAAAATCGAGAATATATATCCCAAGATAATGTTAAATTGGCTATTAAGACAAGCTTTACATCACTTGAGGGGATGTAAAGCCTCCTGAATACTGTACAGAATACACCCAAATATGCAACATAATGAGTCCCAGAATACATAACAAGTTAATAGAACTAATTGGAGAATACATCCCGAAGTCTATTGTTGAAGAAGTGAACATTTTGTACCGCGTCTACCATGTCAGGCAATTATAATGGAGTGCATACGATTATTCAATCAAAATTTATTTCACATTTTAAAATTAAATTTAAATGCAACTGAAGTATATTCGTTGCAATTTTGGAAATTTGCTCATTCTTAAGAAAATCCAAAAAGATCTCCTACTTTATGAAGAATATTTCGAGAAGCAAATAAATCTTTCAAATGATTACATTCATATTGCGAAACACGATTGGTTGAGCAGCATGATTGCGTACAAATATAGAAGAGATTGTGGAATCGTTTATTTTTGAGTTTTTCAAAAGAATGCTATTCAGTAACAAATGCTCGCGAAAGAACGATTCGACGACGTTTGCAACAAAATTTTATCGTTCAATGCGAACATTCGCGAGAGATTGCAAATGCTTGTTCATTCATTGTAACATTATCATTCGCGATAAAGTGAAAACATCGAATGCTCGCCGTGAGTATTCGTGAGAAAGAGCCTATTTTAATCACCTGATTTTAACGGCAATGTTTCCTGTGATAAACGAAAACTCTAACGGTTAGTTAATTTCAATTAGCATTAATGTTTCCCGACAAAACACAAGAGAAGGAACAGCACAATTATCGAACCATCTAATATCACAAAAAAAACTCGGTAAAAATAGAACCAACTTATGAAATATTGGACATCTAAATCTACGTACTTTTCAAAATAAATTTGTATCAAGTTAACATTAAATATTGTGTCAACATATTGGTTTTTGTGTATTACAATTTTGTATGTATGTACATCCATTCTAATCGTTCAATAAAGAATAATTTGTCTTTTTGTAATTACTGAGATTCAACAGTAACATAGATTTTATTGCACATATTTTGGAATAAGTTGTTTACCCACTAAAATCCTGAAATGCCAAAATGCACTCACTTCGGTTAAAACTGCACATAGAGCCAACAAAATACCTATAAAGGGCCCTTTTTTGGGACTATACTGTAACATGGACTTATATTGTCATTTTTATACCCTCCACCATAATATGTTTGTAACTCACCGAAATATTCATTTCCGACCCTATAAACTATATATATTCTTGATCAGGGTAAAATTCTAAAATTCATGTACGTCCGTCTGTCCGTCTATTGTAATCACACTATCTTCCGCAGGAATTGAGATAGGGTGCTGAAATTTTGCATAGGGTTGTCTTTTGTCTGCAGGCAGGTCAAGTTCGAAGATGGGCTTCATAGGTCCACGTTTAGGCATAGCTCCCATATAAGGGTACCCCCAAATTTTCGGTATTTTGGGGTGCTTGAGCGCTTTTTTCAAACGAATTCGCTGAAATTTGGTACATTGGGTTCTTATTGGGTACTAAATGTCGCCACAAAAAATTATAAATATAGGTCTACTTTTTCTGGTAGCCCCATATAACGGTATCTTCTAATTTTCAGTATTTTGGGGGGTTTGGTCGAATTTTTCCACCGAATTGGCTGTAATTTAGTATTTTGAGTTCTAAATAGGTTCTAAATCACTCCACAAAAAATTATGAATATAGGTCCATTTTTTCTGGTAGCCCCCCATATAAGGGTACCCCCAATTTTCGGTATTTTGGGGTTCTTGAGCGCGTTTTTCAATCGAATTCGCTGAAATTTCTTATACTGGGTTCTTATTGGGTACCAAATATCTCCACTAAAAATTATAAATATAACTCCATTTTTTTCTGGTAGCCCCCATATAAAGGTACCCCCAAATTTCGGTATTTGGAGGTTCTTGAGCGCGTTTTTCAACTGAAATCACTGAAATTTTGTATTTTGTAGTCGTATATGGAAACAATTCTCCCTACCAAATATTATTAATAGTCAACCGCTTTTAGGCGTAGTTCCCATATAACCCCATTTTTATACCCTTCACCACACTGTGGTACAGGGTATTATGTCTTTGTGCATATGTTTGTAACCCCAAAGTCCCTATATATCTTTCGATTTGCACGAAATTTGGCATAACGTACTGAATTCAGCCTAGAATGATATCTGCCAACTTTCGAGAGAATCGGTCCAGATTTAGATATAGCTCCCATATATAATTTCGTCCGATTTCAGGTAAATGGTGCCCCAAAGTCCCTATATATCTTTTGATTTGCACGAAATTTGGCATAACGTACTGAATTAAGCCTAGAGTGATGTCTGCCACGTTTCGAGAAAATTGGTCTAGATTTAGATATAGCTCCCATATATAATTTCGTCCGATTTCATGTAAATGGTGCCCCAAAGTCCCCATATATATTTCGATTTGCACGAAATTTGGCATAACGTACTGAATTGAGCCTAGAATGATGTCTGCCAACTTTCGAGAAAATCGGTCCAGATTTAGATATAGCTCCCATATATAGTTTCGTCTGATTTCATGTAAATGGTGCACCAAAGTCCCTATATATCCTTCGATTTGCACGAAATTTGGGATAACGTACTTAATTGAGCCTAGAATGATGTCTGCCAGGTTTTGCGTTTGCGTTGCGTTTTCTAGAAGTACAGACATAGCCCAACGGATGACCTATTTATATTTGTTTGAAGTCGATTTACTTTATGGATAGATCTAGGTAGATTCACATTTAGATAAATATCACATATTTTATTTCATCCAATTTCATGCTTTAATATACCCATAGTGGTGAAGGGTATCATATAGTCGGCCCCGTCCGACTTTACTACTTTCCTTACTGGTATATTAATATAATTATCTGATTTTTCCGAGTTTTGGGTTTGGTTCTAACACTCTGTTGTAATCATTTCACCTGCGAAGGATATCGAGATAAAAAAACTAGAACGTACGGTGCGATAATAAACTATATGTGAACTATAGCCCGTATTTAGGCTTAACCGTCGCCCCTGTATGGGAGGTACCAGAAGGCATGGACCGATATTCCCCAAATTCGGACTTGAACTAAGTTTGGAAGACATAATAAGATGGGATAAAATCAAATTTTTCTGAAACGGATTTGGTCCCAAGAAACATGGGGTCTAGAACCAATATTTCGATGAGGCAAATTTTCACCGTGTGAACGTGTATACACACTAATTAGCCATAAGTCTGAGGGTATAATTTTCTATTAAAAATTATTGTTTACATAATCGGATTGTAGAAATGTCGGTATAGGTCCATTTTTTGGTATGTTCCCTATATTTTCATTTCAAGTACCTGTCAGTATATCTATGATGGAGGGTATCCAAAGTTCGGCCCGGCCGAACTTAACGCTTTTTCACTTGTTTAACTTCAATTAACAAGAAATTGCTACATATTTCCACATACATAAGCAATTTCAGTTGCCTATGTTTTGACCAGCACTGTTTATTAGACAATTTTTTTTGAATTCTTATTTTAATTTTTTTTTTATTCTGTTTTGAGGCAGTCGGTTAAACATTTGGCCTTTGGTGCTATTATAAATCTGTGTACCTTATATATTTCCTTCTTATAAAGTTCGTTTTTGCAGTTAAATTTGTATTATGCGTTTTAAGCCCACTGTATTCACAAACAAATTATTATTATAGAAAAATATGTATGTCTGTTTGTATGTTCATTATTACCTGGTATTTCTACATAAGCAATTTGTTCACAGAGTTGCGTTACATTACGCATATTTAGTATATTTACGAATTGTGGGCAATCCATATTAATTTATTGGCTTATTTCTAACGAGGCAACAACCGGCACTACCAACACCACACAGCCTGACAACTGTCAAAAATATACAAGCATCAGTATTAGGATTTGGCAAAACTCAGCAGCTGTTCGATAAATGAAACTATATTTTATTTCAGCAATTTAACTGAATATATATTACTGGAAAATTGTTTAAGAGAATGAAACAAAAAACGTAAATGGAAAGGAACTGTTAGGCAAATAAAGAAAATGCCGGATAGATCAGTTCCTTATAACCTTTAACGAATTTATTGAAACCGTCTATTTTGATGCGAATCTCTGTATAATTACCAATGGGTATAGGCATACAAGTTTTTGTTCGATCTAAAATAATATCCCATCATTGCATCAATATTTATTTAGTAATGGGTATAATGCCTTAAAATATTTCAACTCTTGAACACTAATTTCACAAAATTTTAAAATTTATATTTCGCCAAAAAATTAAATGCCTCAGGTGTTAATTTGATTTTGAAAATATGTTACCGTTGTGTCGTCGTGTTTGCCGCTTTTGGAATCGGCCATTCGTGATTATGTTGCTCGTATCGAATTATTTACAAATTGCCTTTAATTTCTCTTTATTTTATTGTTCACATTTGCAGATACCACGTAAGTGGTTCAATTGCCTGCTGTTAATCGCTGTGGTCGTTACAAGCCAGTCTATAACGGTGCAATTGCAGCCGATACATGTCCCAGACGAAGATGATGGTGGCGAAATACAAAAGGAGATGATGGAATATGCGCCACAATTTGTAAGTAAACATTTGATTTACTTTTCTGCTTTTAATCAGTTTAATTCTATTATTACTTAATTTATCTTTGATTCTGGAAAATATTTTGGTATAATTTAAGACAATGTCCTTCAGGTTTAAATATATACGCCATAGAATACAAATTTTGTAATTTTTCTCACAAAAGTCAGGGTCCATTTGACCCGCTTAATATTGACCTATCTTTATCAAAACAGGCATGCTTATTCTCAGCTCGACTCAGCTAGTCGAGATATGATCGGTATACTTAAAGGTGGGTCTAGGACCAATATTTCGCGGCGTTACAAACTTTTGGGGCTGCACAAAGCTATAATACCCTGACAACATAGTTGTGTAGGGTATAAATACCAGCCGAGTACGCTCATAACGAACACCTATTATAAGGAACTTTGTTTAAAGCGAACACATTTCCTGGTCCCGAAGTTTTAATACATTTTTTCATACACAATTTTCTCTTTTAGCGAACTATTTATTCGGTTCCCAATTTTAGTTTTCATTTTTAATTTTTTTTTAATTTGGTTATAACGCACTAGTTACAAATATTATTTATACTTAACGATAACATTCCTCATAAAAGTTAATTTTTAAGCTAAAGCTGTTAAAAAATATTAGATGTAATATCAGATTCATCAATAAGTAGATATCATTATATGGGAGCTAGACCTAAACCTGGAACAAATCAGTTAACAATTTAAATATCAACCAGTAAGGAAAGTTGAAAAGTCGAACGGGCCTACTATATGATAACTTTCCATATTTTACAAAATCCAATACTCGCTTTTCAGAAATTCGTCCCAATCAGAAAAATTTTAGTTATTTGATACACCATTTAGATTATATCGGATGAAAAGTTATATCTGAACCTGAACCGATTTCTATAATTTGCAATCTAATACTCTCTGCAATATTTTATATAACGCGAACAAGCATCAACTCCTCGGCCACCATTTGCATGAAATTTGACGAAAATATATATATCTAAATCTGAACTGATTTCAACAAAACTTAAAATTCGTAATTCTACACTTGATTCAATATGCTAAACATAATATCGTGCAAATGGAACAGGATATATGGTACACCATTAACATTAAATCGGAGTTATATCCAAATCTGAGCCGGTGTCAATAAAACTTCACAGACATCAAACTGTACGCTGTGCCAATCGGACAAATTTTACATAAAATCGGACGAAACTATATATGGGAGCTATATCTATATCTAAACCGATTTCAACAAAACTTCACGGACTTCAAACAGGATTTAATTCAGTATGCTGTGTAAAAGTTTGTCTCAGTTGGACAAATATTGGGAATTTTGCACATCATTTACATAAAATCGAACGAAACTATATATGGGAGATATATCTGAATCCGAACCGATTTCAACAAAACTTCGCATACGTTATGCCAATTCTCTATTCTCCACACGTTATACCAAATATTGGCTCAATCGGACAAATTTGGGAGTTTGGTGGACCATGTACCTAAAATCGGACAAAACTATATACATATGGGAGCTATATCCAAATATGAACCGATTTCAACAAAACTTCACAGACATTAAACTGAACCTAATTTAATACGCAGGATCTATATTTATAATTTTTAGTGTAGATATTTGGTACTCAATAAGAACGCTAATTGCCTAATTGAAAAAGGCACCAAAAATACTAAAATACCAAAAAATGTGGGTACCTTTCTATGGGGCTACCATATATATTTAGAATTTTTAGTTTAGGAAAAGTGATTACAACAGACAGACGGAAATGCTTTAATCGTCATAGAATTTCACGGTAATCAGAAATGATTATTTCCATGAGCTACAAAGTAAAAAGCAACTTAATATACCCTCCATACAGTGGTGGAGGGGTATAAAAACGCATTTGCATTCAAAATTTATTAAAAAGTTCGGAAACTTCATATGGCTAATATGTCATTGTAAATAGTCTGATTGTATGTTGTACGAAACTTTTACATGTGAGGCTATGTCCAAACTTAATCGTGTGTAGAAAATCTTCTACAAAAATGAACTTTACTCTACAACCACCAATCTTGAAAAATGTGCCCAAGGTCCTCAAAATTCCGAATAATAAGGGTTAAAGTCATTTCGGTTGAAAAACGTTCCTAAAGTTACCAAAATACCATTTTATGGAGGTTACCCAAAAAAGCGTTCCAATACTGAAATTTGTTTTTATATCCTAATACACAAACCACTTTAATACACTTCTTCCTGTGGTTGAATTTAATATTCCCTACTATGGTGGAGGGTATAACAATACATATTGTAGTAGGGCTTGAAAAAATAGTCTTTTTTTAAATCACATAAAGGTAGATCTTAAATATGTTTTTTTTAAATACACGCCTACAAAATTTATAATTATAAGTGCCTTTGGTTTATCTTTCCAAAAATGAAGCCAATAAAAACCAACTCTTCAAATATTTTGTTCCATGCAATTCACATAACGCCTGACAACAATAACTGTTACTTGTCTAGCGAAACTTGTCAGGAATTTCGAATGGTCTTTTATTGTTCTAATTGCCAGCCAAGAACCTCAATTTACAACTACAAATAACGAAGATTAAATATAAAAGGCTCAATTTTTCACCGTTACAATCCCACATTATGTCAATGTCTTGATCCGATTATGTCCGTTAACATGTTTTTGACATACAAATGACATATTTATTTATAGTCGTCGTCATATTTGAATTATATTCGCCATTTATGCAGAATAGATAGCTAAACGCACCAAACCACCGATAGATAAGCGAATGGATAGATGAATGGCTGGTTGGTTGGCTGGCTGACTGACTGGATGGATTGCCAGATAGACAGGCGTATGGTTCTAAAGACTGCAGGCAAGATTTGAATATTTTATTGTTGTTGCTGTTGTGGCTGTTCTTTTTGTTTATTATGTAAATTGGTCTGTTAACAAATCTCACAGTTCATTTACACCTTTCAAATTTAAAATCTACGCCAACCAAAAACTTAAAAAAACAGTAAGGAAAGTAGTAAAGTCGGACGGGGCCGACTATATGATACCCTTCACCACTATGGGTATATTAAACAGGACTATTAACATGAAATTGGATAAAATAAAATATGTGATATTTATCTAAATGTGAATCTACCTAGATCTATCCATTAACATGTCATTCGTTTGTTACAATGGGACAAAACTATGTAAATCGACTTCAAACAAATATAAATAGGTCATCCGTTGGGCTATATCTGTACTTCTAGAAAACGCAACTACGTAATTCTATGCTCAATTTTGTAAGTTGTGCAAAATTTGATGTCAATCTGACTAACATGTGCAGTTTGATGCCCAATTTACTTGAAATCAAGCGAAAATATATATGGAAGCTTTATCAAAATATTAAGCGATTTCAAACAAACTTGTCACAAGTTATTTCATACTAATTTCAGAACGTTTTGTTCCTATTGGTTCCTTGGTGCTTCATTTACTTAAAATCAATCTGTAATAAAAGGAGCTATATCTAAATCTAGGCCGATTTTCACGAAACTTGGTAGACATCACTGTAGGCTCAATTCAGTACGTCATGCCAAATTTCCTGCAAATGGAAGGATATATAGGGACTTTGGTGCACCATTTACATGAAATCGGACGAAACTATATATGGGAGTTATATCTAAATCAGAACCGATTTTCACCAAACAAGACAGATATCACTCTAGGCCCAATTCAGTACGTTATGCCAAATTTCCTGCAAATCGATGGATATATAGGGACTTTGGTGCACCATTTACATGAAATCGGACGAAACTATATATGGGTGTTATATCTAAATCAGAACCGATTTTCACCAAACAAGACAGACATCACTCTAGGCCCAATTCAGTACGTTGTGCCAAATTTAGTGCGAATCGAAGGATATATTCGGACTTTGGTGCACCATTTACATAAAATCGGACGAAACTATATATGGGAGCTACATCTAAATCTGGACCGATTTTCTCGAAACTTGGCAGACATCACTCTAGGCTCAATTCAGTACGTTACGCCAAATTTCGTGCAAATCGAAGGATATATAGGAACTTTGGTGCACCATTTACATGAAATCGGGCGAAACTATATATGGGAGCTATATCTAAATCTGGACCGATATTCTCGAAACTTGGCAGACATCACTCTAGGCTTAATTCAATACGTTATGCCAAATTTCGTGCAAATCGAAAGATATATAGGGACTTTGGGGCACCATTTACATGAAATCGGACGAAAGTATATATGGGAGCTATATCTAAATCTGGACCGATTTTCACGAAACTTGGCAGACATCATTCTAGGCTCAAGTCAGTACGTTATGCCAAATTTCGTGCAAATCGAAAGATATATAGGGATTTTGGTGCACCATTTACATAAAATCGAACGAAACTATATATGGGAGCTATATCTAAATTAGGACCGATTTTCTCGAAACTTGGCAGACATCACTCTAGGCTTAATTCAATACGTTATGCCAAATTTCGTGCAAATCGAAAGATATATATGGACTTTGGGGCACCATTTACATGAAATCGGACGAAACTATATATGGGAGCTATATCTAAATCTTGACCGATTTTCGCGAAACTTGGCAGACATCATTCTAGACCTTAATGATTAGGCTGTACCAAATTTCGTGCAAATCGAAAGATATATAGGGACCGTTTACATTAAATCGGTTAAATATATATATGGGAGCTATATCTAAATCTGAACCGGTTTTTCCCAATTTCAATAGGGTTCGTCCTTGGGCCAAACAAATGAGCTGTGCCAAATTTCATCCAATTCGGATCATAAATGCGACCTGTACTTTGCTCACAAAAATACATGGACAGACGGACGGACGGACATGCATAAATCGACTTAGAAAGTGATTCTATGCATATTCTCAAAAGGAACCATGTGTCTATCTCGTTTCCTTGTGCCTGTTACAAACATATGCACAAAGACATAATACCCTGTACCACAG